CCAATGAGATCAATGATACCATCTCCTACTACTTCCGTGCCCTCCACAAAGTTGTTCATTCCAATCCTGGCACCTATGCTGTTTGAACACTCCAGACATATTCCCACTTTATACCATTTCCCTGGGTGGATCTCCTCATCCCCAGGTATCCATGTCCCCTGTTCCTCACTTTTCACCAGATCTTTGTTCAAATGTCAATGAAGCCTTCTTTGGTCACCTGAGCTAAAATTGTAATTCCTCGACTTTTTCCATCCCTGTTGCCTACTTTATTTTTTCCTTTGTATTTGTCACCATGTAGCACAGTATTTGTTTTACTTATTACTTCTACTTATTGTCTATTACTTCTCAATATAAGTAAGTTCTATGAAGGGAGGGAGAATTTTGTCTATTATTTTCACTGTTAATCCTGAGCTCCTACAGCAAAATCTGGCACATAGTTGGCACTCGGTAACTACTGACTACATAAATAAATGGCTTTTTGAACAGAAAATATATCAATATAAGCCATACAATGTAATATGCTACAATAATAACATGGACTATGGACAGCCATCAACAAATTTTATGTTTTATAAATATAACATGCATATGTCTGCTGTGAGTGAGTAGATGTATCAACAAGTTTTGTTCAAATAATCCAGTATTTTGTTGAAATAATCTAAAAACAATACTCCTTCCTCAACAATTTAAAAAAAGAAAATGAAAAACAACAACAACAACAAAAATGCTCCAAAGAGACACATAAGCTTCAAGTATAAAACCACCCTGCTTTGTTGACATTGTTAGTTTCATTTAATAATTTATTTATTTATTTATTTTGCAGGTTTTGGCAGGGGCTGGGTTTGAACCTGCCACGTCCAGCTTATGGGGCTAGTGCCTTACTCCTTTGAGCCACAGGCGCCGCCCTTAGTAATTGATTTTTAAAAAGGAAAAACAAAAAGAATACTTTTATGATAACAGGGAGAATTAAAAAATTGCTTTTCAGGTCTATTGGAGAAACCACCTGTTTGAAACTTATAGCCTCTTAAAAGCCTGCCTTCCCCTCATCCAACCCAGGGATGGATGAAATTTTGGTTAGCTATAAAATGTAAATTACATTCCACAAAAGAAAATAGGAACCAACTATTCTTGGGATTGCATCTTTTTTTTTTTTTTAAAAGGTATATCCTAATATGATTACTTCTTGGTGGGTCTGATAGTATCACTCATTATCTATCAATTCAGAGCCAGAAGAAATAGAGGGGACCAATTAGTAGATTACTTTCAGTTTTAAGAGAGTTGTAGGAAGGTAGTAATCACTGTCGCCATACCGCCACTGTCACCACATGACTGATCAACTTAGTTATCTTCCTTTTTTTCATCGTCCTTACTCGATCATTCAGACACTCAAAATTTTTTAGAGTGTCTATCATCCTGTCAGCCTTTCACAGGCAAACTTTAAAAGGAATTGTCCTCATTTGCTGTTTCAATTTCCTTATTTATCCTTTTCAACCCATTTCAGTATGCCTTGTGCTACCACATCCCACTGACACTGCTATTCCTAAACTCACTAAGCATCTAATGTCGCTAAATCCAGTGAGTTTTTCAGTCCTTAGTTGCCCACTCAGTAATATAGAACAGAACTGATTATAGTTCTTAACCATTCTTACCATATCTTTTGTATTTAGTTTAGAGCACTTATTTGATGGCACAAGCTAGCTTACTTTTCTTCTCCATTTTTTTCTCTTAAGCACAATACACATATGCTCAATGAATTATTACAAAGTGAACATACCTGTGTAATCCCTACCCAACGCAATAAACAGAACATGACTAGCACAACAGAAACTTCCATATTCCTTCTAAGCACTATTCATGCCTCCTCCCCAAATAATCACCATCCTGACATCTAACACCACAGATTAGTTCTGCCTGTTTTGGAGCTTCATATAAACGGAATCACACAGTATGTATTATGATGTGTCTGTTCTTCAGCAAACTCTTCAGTGAAATATCTGTTCAACCCTCTTGCTTATTTTTCTACCAAAAAGGCTTTATATACACTGAACAAAAGTCCTTTCTTAGGTGTTGCAAATATATTCTCCTGCTCTACAGTTTGTCTTTTCATTCTCTTAATGGTGTCTTAATAAAAAGAATTCTTAATCTTAATACAGTCCAATTTATCAATTATTTCCATTATGATAGGATTTTTTTTTTTGGTATTCTGTTTAAGAAATTTTTCCCTATCCCAAATCATGAAAATATCCTCTACATTATTTCTAGAAGCTTTAACATGTTACCTCTCACTCAGATCTACAATGCAATTTGGAATTAATTAATTTTGTGTATGTGTAAGGCAGGGGTCAATTACACCTCACTCCCCACAAAGATATCAAATTGACCCAGCTCCAACTGAAAAGACCATCTTTCCTCAACTGCTCTCTGGAGGGCCCGCTTGGTCACACCAAATGTACATATACATGAGAGATCACCTAGGTCTCTCCCTTCTGTTTCACTAGTGTGTCTATTCTTCTATCAACACCTTTCTGTACTTTTAAAATAAGTCTTTCTTTCTTTTTTATTTTTAGACAGTGTCTCACTTTATTGCCCTGGGTAGAGTTCCACAGCATCATAGCTCACAGCAACCTCAAACTCTTGGGCTCAAGCGATTCTCTTGCCTCAGTCATCTGAGTAGCTGGGACTGCAGGCTTCTGCCACAACATCTGGCTTTTTTTTTTTTCTTTCTAATTTTAGAGACAGGGTCTAGCTCTTGCTCAGGTGGGTCTCGAACTCCTGAGCTCAAGCAATCCACCAGCCTCAACCTCCCAGAGTACTAGGATTACAGGCGTGAGACACCACATCCAGACTTAAACAAGTCTAGATACTAGTAGGTTGTTTTATCACCTTGTTTTCTTTGACCTCAGCTATTCTTCGTCTACAGCATTTCTATGTGACTTTTAGAATTAATTTGCCAATTTGTGTATATGTGTGTGGTGCTGGTGGTGGTGATGGGTAGAATATCATGTTGAATTTTAGACATGACAGGTAAGTATTCTAAATCATGATCATAGTACAGCCCTCCATTTATTTTTTTCAATCTTTTTTACTACATATTTTCTTTTGATTATGTTTTACAGTTCTCTACATGGAAGTACTGCACATCTCTCAGTAGATTTTTCTCCCTAGGAATTTGTTATTGTGTGATGCTATGATAAATGGTATATTTAAAATTTTACATTTGCTGTTTGTTGCTAGTACACAGAATACAATTGATTTTTATATACCAACTTATATTTGACAGCAGGAAATTTTGCCTAAAGACAAATCACTAAGCGATAAACACAGAATCACAGAGTAAACACCCAATTCAAGATTAGATTGGCATGTAAATAAGAATGGCTGTAGAAGCAGTCTTTCCCTCTTTAATATTTACTGTAAGGATAACTTCTAGTGTGGACTTAGGATACCCACTCTGAAAATGATTATGGACTGACACGAGTCAGGATGGCTATCAGACTTGTTGTCCAGGACAAAAGATAGAGCACTGGCTCTAGACCAGACACCTTTGTCACTTCATCTTAGTGACATCTGTCTTTTGGACCAGTACTTGGAACATACAGGTATTTAGTAATTACAGTTCTCTCTTCTATAAATAACACTCTAATAATTAGTCCAATTATAACTGCACTTCCTCAAAAATTCATTGAGTTTTGTAGGTCAAAACTTGAACAGAGTTTCCTAGAGAATTAGTAAGGATAGTCATCAATATAACATTATAAATGATGAAAGCAAAGCAGCTGAAAGAAGGTTACTCTAAGCCAATTCAGTTCACACGGAGGTTGTATGTGAAATATGAAGAGGTTATAAAATGGTTACACCCAGACAGGTTTTCAATAGAATTTAGGCCCACACCTAAACTGGTTTCAACACATGATAAAGAAGTACAATAGAAATAAGATGAGAAAAAAAAATTTTTTTTCTCCAAGTATAACTCCTTAGAAAAATATATTTGCCAACCTGACTTATTCTTATAAAAGTAACAACTGTTACACAGGATAAAAAGAAAAGTAAATGACACAAATTCTAACCAAGAGTTCTGGGTTACATTTAGAAAATGAGGAAAAAGGCAGCTCCACCCCCAAAATTCCAAACTAAACCTGATTTTAGAAGACACACCCAAATCAGAGAATTATCCATTTGATTAATACAGAGATAATGAATGATTCTATTTTATCTACCTACCAAATGTCTATCACTAAAAGTCTATGGTTTACTAAGCAAATAATAATACAACAATGCAAAGCACCAAAGCAATCTCTACTTTTCAAATTTATGCATTATTTAATTTAATCTTAAAATGTCCTTAAACTTATCCGACCAATCTGATTATTTAAATATCCAGGGATAAAAATGAAAAGCATCTCATAGAATACATTTGGTAGGAAATGAGGAAAGAGCTAGCTGCTTTGATAGTGACATTAATTCCTTTAGAACGTAAAAAGAGAAGTGGAATTTCTTTAATTTCTCCCTTTTGTCACCTACTCCGACCACAGTCCTGCATATGACTTATGCATAAAATTAGTTCAGCTAATTTAGCTTAATCTGATATTACATTGTACAAACCACTCACATATATGGACTCCCTTATGTACCTCAGTGCTTCAACAGGATCATCTAATGCGCCGGAGGGGGGAGAGGGGATCACCTAATGATCTTTCAAAACCTAGGGCTAAGGAATAAACCCAGAAACAACACATCATGCAGTCTGGCTAGGCCTAAATAGCAAGCAATCTTATGAACACTTGGATAAATTCTCTCTCTGTAAAATAGCTTTGCTGTCACTTGGTTATAAAGAACAGAACTCTCTAATGACCTCTAACTCTCACTTTACCTGGTATTGATTTGAACACACTTATTTAACAAATACTATAGAATGTTTTGTTTTATTGTAACACTCAGTAACAAGTCCACACACAATTAGATAAAAGCTGGAAATTTCTTTCCTTTTAGTATTAGCTTACCCAGTTTTGTGGCGCCCTCTGGTGGGTATTCAGGAAACTGACCCTCGGAAGGGACACTGACAGTTCTCCTCAGGCATCTCCCCTTGGTGGAATCTGTCTGTTGTTCCTGTGCCCCTTCCACAGGTAACTAGTTAACCAAAAGAAAAAGAGATGAAACTTAATAGTGAACTCATCATGACTACTTTCTGACCGAATAATGATTTTTTAGTTAATGAAGATGGGAGTGTGTAATAAGCAGAAGTAAGGCAGAAGAAATAAAATATATATGTAAGTATTACGAACCCCTTTTCTGGAAGCTGTCCTTCAAAAAGAAAACTGAAAGATCAGGAAAGGTAAGTATGTAAATTAGCTTGCATGAAGTATGTACAAATCAGATTGAGGTATGTACCTGCTCTGGGAGTTCAGAAAACAAAACAAAACACCTACATGAATAAACTTTTCTTCTATATCAGAAACTGATGTACAAAGTTCAATTTTGACCAGTGTTCAATAAAGTAAATAGAAATAAAAGTTGTCCAGACAGATTTAGTGTCAAAATTCTTTTAGAATGATGTTTTTGTTAGGTAAAGGAAGTAAAATCACTCAAAATTTCTTCAATTTTAGAATCAACTCCTTAGACATAGTAAATAAAACATATTTTCAGTGGTAACTTGTATAGATACATACATAAAATGGCATATTTTCTTCAAAAAGTGAGATTGTTTTTATAATCCTAAAAACATATCAAGTGGTTGTTTGAATATGAGGAATGAGAACTATGAACGAAGAAGATCTTAAGTCCAACAACTATTTTAAAACTTACTTAGACAGTTATCATTATAGAGTAATGGATGACTATAGGTTTTGGGGCAGGGGGAGGGCAGGACGGGTACAGTAAGGCTAAGTTTGGCGGGTAATGGGCAAAGATGCCTTAGAAATGAGAGTATACTAGGTGCCTTTATCATTATTAAAAATTGCACTGATAACATGTTAAACAGTTTGGCCAAGGCTGCACATGTAGCTCAGTGGGTAGGGCACAGGCCACATACACCCAGGTTGGCAGGTTCAAACCCAACCTGGGCCAGCTAAGCAACAATGACAACTGCAACGAAAAAAAAATAGCCAGGTGCTGTGGTGAGTGCCTGTAGTCCCAGCTACTTTGGAGGCTGAGGCAAAAGAATTGCTTAAGCCCAAAAGTTTGAGGTTGCTATGAGCCGTAATGCCAAGGCACTCCATCAAGGGCAACATAGTCAGACTTTGTCTCAAAAAAAAAAGAAAAAAGAAAAGAAAAGAAAAGAAAGAAGAAAAAGAAAAGAAAAGAAAAAAACACACAAAAAAACTAGTTTGGCCAAGTATGTCAGTAACTAATAGTATACTGTTCCTAATATCCTCTGGATTTAATAAGTGTCTTCAACAAATTTTAGTAATATAACTAACATTGGCTTCTTACTATGTGCAAGTCTAAGGACTTTATGTGTGTGACATTACAAGACAGGCACTGTTAGTATCCTTTTTATAAACAGGGAAGGATTTATTTCTCCACATGATTACGGTGGACATGTACCACATCAACTGATTCAGCAAAACTGGGACAGACACAGGTTTAATTGTATATGCCTTCTGCTTTGCCTCAGTAATCCAACTCCAATGACTGGGTCAAGGAGATGATACTAAGGGAAGCTTTCTCACTGTTCCTGAGAATCTGAGGAACAAATTCCTAATGTTTCCAAGCACTTAAACAATTTTCACACCTCTTGTAAGATCAAAAATTCTCACATTTCCTCATTATCATGACCGTGGCTACTTTCTGCACAAGACATTCAACAGCAGAAGTAACTAAAATTCTAAAAATAAGCTGAGCCCAAGAACTAGCAATAAAAACATGAACTCTTCCAAAAGAACTCTGTAACATAAAACTTTATGAACAGTAATTAAGTCATCTATCCCTTTCAGAATGGAAATTTTATCATCTCTACTTAAATAATTAAAAGTGTATCCCTGACAGGTTTAAATGACTATCTGCAATTTAAAAAAGCAAAAATATATACTCTCTTCCCTTAAAAATAGTAAGAATGAGAATAAATTTATAGAAAAATTTTGGCCTTAGAGCAAATCATTGACTCTAAATAAAAATAACTATTTTGATACTTTTAAAAATGTCTATTATCTGAAATAATAAAGGTATATACCATAAAGAAAAAAGACAGTAGTTTCTTTGTTCTATGGAAACGTATAAAGGCTATATCCAGGAAAAAGTAAGAATGGCTCCTATTATCACAAACTTTATCTCTACAATATCTGAGGAGAGGATAAATACAATATATCAAATTTCTAATTTAGGCCTAAAATTCACTTATAATTATTTTTTCCAAGTTTTAACATGGACTTTTCATTTCCCACTACTAAAACTTAAAATATGATCAAAGGTTTTATTCAAAGAATCACTCTTAAAAGTTTTATTCACCTAAGAGGAAAAGACAATTTAGGACTCCATGCCACCTTGGTCAATAAAACTCTTCAAAGTCAAATAATAAATAAATAAAAGTTTTATTCAATGAATCACTCCTCATTCAGAATATAACAGAACATAATGTTTTTTTCTGGTTTTTTTTGGAGACAGAATTTCACTTTGCTGCTCTTGGTACACTTGATATAGTGCTGGGGCGTTGTAGCTCACAGCAACCTCAAACTCTTGGGCTCAAACAATCCTCTTGCCTCAGTCTTCTGAGTAGCTGAGACTACAGGTGCCTGCCACAATGTCCAGCTAATATAGAACATAATGTTTGACTTTTTTCTAAACTGCATTTCTTAAGAATATTTTATTTTGACAACATAACAGATTGTTTCCTAGCTACAATATTGTTTTAAAAGATATTAATCTACTCCTTTAAAATAGTACAGGTCATATTTCAAATACTTTCAAATGAGTCAAGCAGAAGTGCACAAATCTAGTGTACAGCTAAGAGAATCAGCTTTAGAAAAACATTTTTCTCCATTCTGGTTATCATAATTTAGTCCATAATTGTTTGTATTGAATTGCTCATAAAAATTGTGTATCCTCCAAGTTTTATAAGATGAGAAAAATTTTTGTTTTAAAGCTTCTTTGGCCTTATGCTGGGGTTGAGTCTACTTTTGCCTCAATGAGGAAAAAACATAAAGCACTTTAATTTCATTCCATTTTAGAGGAGAAAGGTGTAAAGGAGAAAATGACTTCTCAGTCATCTAAGAGGTGTTAACAAATTTAAACTGAATCTCTGGTTCCTAGTTGTGTTAATTCCAAACCATCCAGGACAATGGAAGAGCAACCTGGCACACACAGTACATACATATACATAGCCATACATTTTCTGCAAAATTGCTTCTCAGATTGTTTAGAATCATATGGAAATTAATTTCAATTTCAATTTCAATCTGAGCCCATACAAATGAAATAGTCAAGTACAGAAAATCAAGGTTTGCTAACTAGCAGCAGAAAGCTCTTCTCAGCTATTTCTCTTCCTAAGGAATGCTAATAAGGACTAGCCTGTAGAAAGAAGGCTGAGGGGAGATTTTGGTTTGAGACCAGGAGTTAGTGACGAGCCTGGGTGACACGGCAAGACCCCATTTCTAAAAAAAACTTTTAAAAATAATTTTTACAAAAGAATGTTAAAGGATGCTCAGGTCTACAATATCCTTTATAGGAGTTTTAAATCTTAAAGAAAAACAAATTCCTCAACTTTTTTTTTTATCTCATTAAGGTAATGGTTTTCAAGGCAAATGTGGTCCGGTACTAACAGCATCAACATCACCTGGGAACCTGTTAAAAAGGTTCTCAGGCCCCATCTGAGACCTTCTAAAACAGAAACTCTGGAGGTGAAGCTCAGCAATCTGTGTTTTAATAAACCTCCAACTGATTGTTGAGAACCACTGCTTTAAGGTGTTGTTTTCCCTCCTTCCCACCATGGCTAAGTATCCCAAAGTGTCATTTCTAACAGAGGATCTCAACCTTGGCTGCAAATTATAATCATCTTCTGGTTGATTATAAAATACCATTGGTTTTAAAAAAACACCAGTGCTTAGGCCCCCTCTAGACATTCTCCATACACAAAGTGGAGAACTGATCTATCCTCAGAATCTCCAGCTCTGATTATGCACATTAATCCTTGGCCACCAATACTAAATGTGGAGGCGTGACAAATCACTTAGCTTCATTAATCCTTAATTTTTGCATTTTTGAGGTATAATCTTTTGGTTTGTCAGGTAGATTCCCGCAGTAGTGTTTTAAAGAGTTCTGTCGCTGACTGGGTCAGCCTCTGTCATTGTTCAGCATGATCACTAGCAATTTCTACTCTGTTCTCAATACTTCAGTTGCTCTCTGGAAAGCCTGTTCAGTTTTTCCCTGCACATGTGCAGTCCAGCCCTTGGCTAAAAATTCTCTGGTACCCTGCCCAGCAGATGTCAGCCCCTTCAGATGCAGAATTCTGTTCTCTGCCTCCTTGGCTTAGAGACCATGGTACTCTGCCCAGCCTGGACTCCAGATTACTGTATTACCGTTGGGAAATGGTATGCAGTAGACACCTGGGATGGTGAGGACCATCACAATGTTAGACTACCTATTGCTCAATGCTTGAAATTAGCTGTGTGTTGGCACATGTGCACTCTCTCTTTCTCTACACACACACACACACACACACACGGTGCTAAAAAATGTATATGCATTTTAAGAAAGGAAAAAACTATATTAAAATTGTAATACCCAATACATACCAATAATGTTTGTTATCTTGTAAATTATATCTCTTGTAATTGCAGAAGTCAAATGTGACTTGAGTATAAAAATTTAAAATACAGTTGTTCTTTTCTTAAAATGCTTACACGTTTGAGGCACTCTCTGTATACATACACTTGCATGCATATGGTGGGCCCTGTTTCTGCTGTTTAGCTATCATAGCTGCTACCTAAAAGCCTCTTACACATATTCTTATCCAAACACCTGCAATAGGTTCTTCACTGATATCTGCCTCTGACGTTCTACCGCTTAAACATACTCTTTACAGAGTTATAAGAGTAGTTCAAAAATGCAAATATGATCATGTAATTGAATGCTTAAAGCCCTTCAGTGGTTCTCTTTTCCTCCAGCACTGTTTTGTTTTGTTTTTTTCTTAAGAC